AAAAAAAAAAAAAAAAAGATGGAATTTAGCTTATCTTAAAGCAGAGCATAATGAAATAATTACAAGTTAAAATTAAATTAAGAGAAGCCTATGACTGTCTCATTTTACTACAAATATAGGGAAATATATTTTTCATCCACAATAATTTTATTACTTTAAAATATTTTCAATTCAGATGGTTTTACTCTTATTCAATACATGTTTTTTAATGCACTTTGTCTTCTCATTGTGAAGGCTATACATTTGAGGGCAATAGAAAGTCAGAAGTCAAGTGTTAATTATAGAAAAATAACTGATAAACTAAATTTCCTGTAGTAAATTCAACTATTTACAATGAGAAATATTAACAATTCTAAGAAATTTTAATGATAATCACTAAAATCTCAATCTAAAAAATTGTATATTTGATTTGAAAAATAAACTGTAGATTTCAATATTATGCTTCTAAAATTTTATGAAATTAAGAAAATTTATGATGGATTTAACACACAGGAGTCATTATACACAGAAATACTTATTAAATAATTACTACATTGAACTTATCTTTTATTGTAAAAGGATATGAAACTAGTATTTTGTTCTACTTTTATGCAATGTAACTTTCATTAAAACTGATGGCATATGCAATGAAAAACATAAAATTTAGGTGATTCTATGTAAATATAGAGTATGTATGTAAGTATATGTTTGTGTATGTATATGTGAATGTATGTGTACATATGTGTGTTCTATTTCAGAAATGCTACATTAGAATTTTAGGTTGATTCCTTGGAATTCTTTATTCTAGACATATATAAGCTTCTCTAAAAAATTAAAAGCATATTTAAATCGACTTCTGAATGTGGGGGTAAACCCTGGCAGTAAGCTAGTAAGCTCTTACAGAGCAGATAAACCCATCACTCCAATATAAGACAGAATTACTCGGAATAAATTGTGTTTAAGTACTGTCCATAACTACTTTAGAAATCCATGATGTGACAAGTTTAACCTCATTTGTTTCTGCAGTCTAGTTACTTTTCTCAGGACACGTGTGTTGAAATAATTCAAGACAAGTTGACAAACTAGGAAGTCTAACAAACATTAAAAATACTTTATGTAAAATTCTCTCTCCCTCTGTGTGTGTGTGTGTGTGTGTGTTTCTAGCTCTCTCTCCAACCCCCATTGTTCTTTCTATATTTATAATAGTTGTTATGGAATTATGGATTGGTAAAGACAGGGCAATCAATGTCTTTGGGTAGTTTGCTATACTTAGCAAATTAGAACCTTGAACTCCAAAAGAATGAGGGTGACACATCTGAATCCCAGGAGCACATTCTTGTTTTCCCTGCAATTATCAAATATAGTTTATGTAAACAAATAATCCAAAACTCATGAAAAATAGACACATTATATACCTCCATATTATTTCATATAAATGTTATGTTTTACACTAAACAATAAGCAGCCTATTATAAGTATTTTCCATATCAATAAAAACATATCAGTAAAATTTTATGAATAAAAATTAAAAATAATTATACAATAACAGATTTTAAAAACTGTAGATTAATACCAAAAGATCGTTGGTATTGACATTTTGAAATAAATCCAAAGAATCAGTAATGGAGAAATAAAAGTTTGAAATGAAAGAAGAGTCACTACCAATAACATGTTTCAGTTCACCAGGGAAATATGATTCTAATCTTTTATGCAACTAATAAAAGTATCTTAAAAATATAAAGCAAAAATTGAATTAAAAGGAGACAGATCCAACATCCTATTGGGAAAATTTAATTCATCTCTCTCTGGAAATGATAGACAATAAATATCAGTAAGAATTTTGAAAATTCAATATAATGAACACCTAAATATACTAGATAAATATATAACTTTATACCTAATAACTAAGAAAACATACGCCTTTTTCTCCAGTTTGCAAGGTCCACTTATGAAAACTGATTTCATTCAAAGCTCTAAGGCAAGACTCAAAAAATGAAAAAAAAAATCTGGTCACAAATTAAGTTAAAAATCAAGAGTACATATAATTTAGGAAGATTATAATTGTTTGGAAATTAATAACTATCCTTATACAAATCAAGGAATAACTATCCTTATATAAATCAAGGAATCCTTATATAAATCTGCTTTAATAAAAGCAGAAAGAAAAAGTAATGACAAAACTGTATAATAAAACTTGTGGATCTAATTAAAATTGCAGTAGAGGGGTGCCTGGGTGGCTGAGTCAGTTAAGCATCTGACTTTGGCTCAGGTCATGATCTCAGGGCCCTGGAGCGGAGCCCAGTGTTGGGCTCTGCTATTGGCAGGTATTCTGCTTCTCCCTCTCCCTCTGCACCGCACCCCACTCCCCACCCCCCACCCCCCTTCCTCATGCTCTTTCTCTCTCTCTCAAATAAATAAATAAAAACCTTTTAAAAAATTGCAGTAGAGACTTTTTTTAAAAAAGATCTGAGACTTTCTACAATGCAACTTAACAAATTAGAAAAACTGAAACACAATATAATTAAATATCAAAGAACAAAAAGAAATTACAAATACCTTTAAAAATACAGATTCAACTTATCAACAAAAGTGAGCTTCTTAAAAATATAAGATTCATAAGGCTTTAAGATTTACAAACTAACATTGATGAAGAAAGAGAGAAGCAAAAAACAGACCATATTAGGAAAGTAAAACATGTATGAAAACAGTGGACACCAGTATTTTAAAACTGTGAAATCTTTATCCCAATAAATTTGAAAACTTTTACTTCTCAAAAGATAAAATATTTGTCAAAGCTGACTCAAAGCAAAAAAAAAACCTTAATACTACTCTAATCATGACAAAACCTGATATGATTTTTAAAAATCATCCTACAAAAAAGGGCAGGTCCAAGTAGTATTACCTACTAACATTCAAGGAACAAATAAATCAAATTTACCACAATTATTATCACATCCAGAAAGAGAACATATCTATATTACTTTACCAAATCTCCTAAACTTGGTATCAACTCTAACAAAGACAATATTATAAATAGAATTATAAGCAAATCTCACATTAAACATAGATGCAAATATCTTAATTATCCTAAGCCTAATTAAGAACCAATTAAGGTAATAATACACCTTGAATAATTTAAACTTTAAACTTTCCACACGATTTTTTAGTATTTTTTAGTATTACAAAAAAGTAATATAAACTAACTTGTGTATGAAAAAAATCAAGTAATCATCCCAATCATCCTAACAGCTACAAAAATGGGGATTAAGGAATCACAATCTGTTTATTATTGTAAAAAAAATCTTACCAAGAAAAGCAGAAAATAAAATGTTCTTAACCTGATAATCCTTAACTATTGTAAAACTTGAAACAAATAGAAAACATGAAATATTTGAAGTATTTATTTTATGACCAGAAATAAGTAAAAGGCATCCATTCTTACTGATGTTATTTCATATTCTTCTGGAGACACTGTCTAGGGCAATAAATCAAGAAAACAGATGAGATAGGAAAAAATAAGTCAGATCCTTTATTTTTACAGATGATATAGA